TTTCCCCGATGGCCGGTATGCTCATCTGTGGAAAACCTACAAGCCTCCTCAGGAAGAGGACGGATCAGTGACCAAGGGCGCGGAAAGGGTGATTGAGAAGTACAAGAAGCATAATGACACCGTGCACCGGGCAGCAATGGAAAATTGCGCATTGGAGCATGAAGCCTTGACGTTATGTTTCCAGACCGGTAATTGGCAGAAGCGACTGCAGGCTCGTGTGACTTCCTGCTCCGAGGAAAACGCAACGTTCTCTCGTTGTTTCACCACACAATCTGTAAGTGTCGGAGTCACTACTCCGGAACTTTCTCTGTGGGCGATGTATGCTGATAGCTGCTCAGAAATTCCTCCAGGCACTAGGCTACGCCGCCTCATTTGATTGGGACGAGGAGAAGGAAGAGCGAATTCAAATGCATGCGGATAAACTATACCACCAGATGTTGGATTATGAGAAGCGAGTCGCGGAGTGTCGGGCAACTGGTCAGGAACCACCGCCCCTCAGGTCGCTCTTTAATCCGCAGGCGAAACCCCAGCAACTCAAACCCAATGACACCCCGGGCACTCTTGAGGTCCCTGGTGTTGAGCAAATTCCGCCCGGATTCAAACCATCGAAGCCACTGGAGCAACTTACACCCCATGAGAGAGAATTGGAGATTCGGGCACACAACGCGCAGATCGAACAACAGAAGATGTATGTACAAGAGGCCAGTCCGTTCATGAAGACACACGAGGATGCACGTTTGAAACGGCGCGAGAAGGCTGTCAGTTGGTTCGGAGAGACGATTGGTAAATGGGTTACATGATCATCAAAAACTTCGACAGGTTTCCTCCCTTTCCTTGTATTATTACTCTTGCATCGTTGAAGCTGTCTCGGTGGAGAGATGTAGCATTATGGTTTCGGAAGCGAGTGTTTGGCGTTCACCATGGGATGCGAAATGAATGAATTTGTATTGTTACTTCTCTAGCAAACAAGCTCTATTTATTAGTAGTATACACCTGACGAAGAGGGTGACATATTTTCGAAGATTTAAAGCACTGCATCTCAACATGTTCAGTACTGTAGACCCCTTGGTATATATATGGAGCGATAGAGGCTGATTATCGCGTATCGTGAGTACACTAATCATAGCATCGGAAGTATTAAGTCGAAGGTCCTAACAGCCAATATTAGCAGAATCTTGCTTGCATATGCACCCATAAAGAAAGCCCGATTTGGTTAAAATGGAAGATGTGCTGCGATTCGCCGAGCGCGTCGGAGTGAGACACGAGGAAGGGACACGGGCAACCGACGAACAAACCATCATCGACCAACGACATCACCACTCGACGACAGCTGCCATTGTGTTCGGCCTCATTTGCATTATTGGATGATTTCGGACCCGCTATTCTCTATTCATTCTCCCGCTGTCCCCATAAGCAGATACTGGCTGTCGAATTTGTCTTATAACATCTCGGTTCGGTCCTCGATAAACGGAACGTCTGATTATTGTTCCACGTTCTCCGCAGTAGCTGCTACTGTAACTTTACTAACTACACGCACCCTTACGGATTTCCAGCTTTGAAAGATACCCATCTTGACACGATTTCGACTTTCTGACCTACCCTATTACGAACCATATCCTTCCTGATAACATTGACAAAGACGTTCTGGGGCATTGAGCTTTTGTGCTCACCATGAAAGCTACGCCGTTGCTCATCGCGTGGCACAACGACAATGCCCCAATCTACTCAGTCCATTTCGACCCCAATGGTAAAGGGCGCCTTGCTACGGCTGGAAAGTACGTCTAGGTGACCCCCCTTCCATATATATGTCAGGGCGTTGCTAATATTTCCCGTCCAACCTAGTGATAACAATGTCCGAGTATGCTTCCAACCACCTTCATCTCCTCCTCCCTCCCTCTCTCGCTCCCTTCGTCGTCTCTGACCTCGAATCACTAGCTATGGAAAGTCGAGTCTACAGGTGAAGATCGAAAGGTGACCTATCTAAGCACACTTGTGAAACACACACAAGCTGTCAATGTGGTCCGCTTCAGTCCGAAAGGTACATACGCCGGGTTGTCTATAACGAGATAACAATCTTCTGATGTATTGCTCTAGGCGAGATGCTGGCGTCTGCAGGAGACGACGGCAACGTTCTTCTCTGGGTCCCGTCAGAGCTACAGTCCCAGCCTGGGTTGGGGGAGGAGCGTTCGGACGACAAGGAAACGTGGCGTGTGAAGCATATGTGCCGGTCCTCCGGTGCTGAGATCTATGACCTTGCGTGGTCTCCAGACGGGGTCTTCATCATCACAGGGAGCATGGACAATATTGCTCGAATATACAACGCGCAGACTGGTTCGTTAAATTCTTGTCGCCTCTCCTAGGATTCGTATCCCCGTCACGAGGCTAAAACCGAATACTTTCAGGGCAAATGGTTCGGCAGATTGCGGAGCATTCGCACTACGTTCAAGGAGTGGCCTGGGATCCTCTGAACGAATTCGTTGCTACCCAGTCATCGGATCGATCTGTCCACATCTACAGCTTGAAGACAAAGGATGGCCAATTTACGTTAACGTCTCACGGGAAGTTCCTGAAAATGGATCTTCCAGCCAAACGTATCTCGTCCAGCAGCCCTGCTCCGCCTGAACTTTCTATTCGATCCCAGCCCGCATCAGGCAATACCATTGCCATTGCTTCTCCCGCTACCTCGACTCCGGGTACTCCATTGACCTCTCATTTGCCTATGGATCCTCCTCCAGTATCTCATAGTCGCCGTTCTTCATTTGGCTCATCCCCCTCGATTCGCCGCTCTGCGTCTCCGGCACCTTCCCTGCCGTTACCGGCTGTTAAGCCTTTAGAAGTAGCCTCGCCAAACGTCTTGGGTGGTCTCACAGTCAAGAACGCTAACATCTATGCCAATGAGACTTTCACATCATTTTTCAGGCGGCTGACTTTCACCCCTGATGGAAGTCTGCTGTTCACTCCAGCTGGCCAGTACAAGACCACACACGTTCCTGCCACAGACCCCACAAAATCCACGGATGAGATCATTAACACAGTGTACATCTACACCCGTGCAGGCTTCAACAAGCCCCCTGTCTCTCATCTGCCGGGCCATAAGAAGCCCTCCGTTGCAGTCAAGTGTTCTCCAATTTTGTATACCTTGCGCAAGGCTCCTCAGCCTGCCCGACATATTACGCTGGATACCTCCTCGGGGGAGGAATCCTTTGCATCTCTTCCTGAACCAGTAGTTTCCACGAAGCTGACGCCGGACAAGCCTTCCATGGAGCCTCCGTCGACTCCTTCTGCAAGCGAGTCGTCTAAGACCAACGCAGCGTCCAAAAACGCCGAGAGTGAAGGTGCTTCTGCTGGCCAGAGTCCGAGTCCGGTTTTCTCGTTACCATACAGGATTGTGTACGCGGTGGCTACGCAGGACGCGGTCCTGGTGTACGACACGCAGCAACAAACCCCGCTGTGTGTTGTGAGCAACTTGCATTTTGCGACATTTACAGACCTTACCTGGTGGGTTCTAATGTCTTTTGATCTCTAATGCGTTCGGTACACTGACATAAACAGGTCGAATGATGGCTTAACTTTAATAATGAGCTCCTCTGACGGCTTCTGCTCAACGTTGTCATTTGCTCCCGGAGAGCTGGGCCAGCCGTATACACCTCCAGTAGGAACTGCTCAGCATCCTACGAACGCTAGCACCACGCCGGCGAATCAAGCCCCGCTACCATCCCCTGCCAATATTCCCTCGCCGCTCAAGTTGAGTCAACCTTCTCCGAGCTCGGCACCGGCCCAGCCAGCCGAAGTACCTCCAGCGAGTCCCGCACGATCTAACTCCGCCTGCTCAATGACTACACAATCTCCCGTTCAACAGGTAACGGCTCAGCAATTGGGGGATTCTGTAGTCAACAATCCAACACCCACTCTAGGATCAGTGCCGCTTGTCACTGCCGCCAACTCGGCTCAACCCCCGATTCTGCCGCTTACTACACCACCCCAGACACCGATGTCTGCAGTCACACAAAATGGAGCGAACTCTGTGAGCAACAGTGTTTTGGGCAAAAGAGACATCAGCGAGTCAGAGAAGGAGGAGTCAAAGGACCAGAGTTCGGTCCCGCAAGTACAACAGCCGAAGAAGAGACGCGTGGCCCCGACTCTTATTTCGGCCGGCAAGAACTCCAATCCTCCCTCCTCTTCATCTCCGAACGATGAAATGTCATAATGCCGGCTGAGCCTTTATTGAGCAATTACTTATAGTCTAGTTAAGCATTGACGAACTTGAGTTTTTCGGTTGGTTGTCAACACAACTCCAAATGTCAGAGTTCATAGCACAACCCTAATGATTTATGCTACATCTACCAATTCTCCTTGCTTCCATTCGTCTACCCTACGACCCTTTGTTTTTCCTATCTTCTGGCTTTGGGAGTCTGTCGCCGCATGCCTGGGTGTAGGTGTTGGGTCGGGCACTGTCGTATCTTTTTGTATGGCGCGATGTAATTTCACCTTTTTTCATTCCGGATCAATTCGAGATTTGTCTGACCTCGGCTTTTCTCGGTTTATCTTTGTTTGACATTACATCAGATGTCAAGGCATATTTACATTGCAGGGAGGGCGAGATGTCCGTTCTGTTTTTGTCATTCGAAGCAACAACCTAGCGTGAGGAGTGATGGTTGAAGGTTCTATTCATTTGTACCTTATGCTTGTCGGTCTTTAACGTAACCAACGTACGTAAACGTGGTCTTATCCATCTCTGGTTATAGTCAGCCAACCAGCTTCTTAAAAGAAGAGATACTAGCATAGGAGCAAGGAAGAAAATCAGGATGTATATTGGTCTGTCTAAGCGTCTAGACGCATTATCCATTAAGATCCACGTGTATCCCTCTTTCGGAAGAATGGAAGTAAGGCTAAGGTACAAAGGAAACAGGAGCAGGAAATCATGTCGTCGTGCCGTAGGTATCGTAGCAGAAGCTCAACAAGGTTAACTTAGGGACATCAGATCTTGAGTGTCGCCGCCGTCATGAGGAAGGGGAGGAATTGTCACCATTGACAATAGGGCCATGACCATTCGCACCATTCACACTCGACGAAGTCAGGGTGTTGACAACGTCCGCGATGCTCATGCCGGTGGGAAGCACTGCCGTAGCCTCTGTGGCGTGAGAGCCCACGGTGACCGTGGTCACCTCCAGAATCTTATTTTCGCCCTGCAGACGGTTGGCCCAGCGGAAGAGCGCTTCGTCTCCGCGGGAACCGCCGGCCACGAAGAGGAAGTCTGGGGTCTCAGGCAACTGCTCCAGGATGGACTCTGCGGCCTTGGCTTTTGTGATGTCTAAGGGTTCGACGCTGACTGATCCATCTGTGAGGACGACGCGGATGGCCTCGCTGCCGCGGGAGCCGTTGATCATGTCAGCAAGATCGGAGGCCTGCCGGGCCGCGATCTCGGGATCTTGAGCATTGTTGTACCAGAAGGTCAACAGACAGCGACGTTCTTCCAAGACGCTACCGTCTGTTCTTTCCTGGTAGTATTGCATAACTCGACGGATGCCGTTCCTCCAGTCCTTCGCCCTCTCCATATCCACTAGCGGCTTCCACTGAGTTGTTCCAATTTCCCGCTTGAAGCAACCGTTCTCAGCGATGTATCCCATTCTATCGGGGAAGCTTGCAAATTGGGATTCGATCTGCTCCGGGCTTTTGTTGCTTGTGACGTAGACGAGGTTCTTTGGATCGCGGAGAAGTCCTTCAAGCAGCGATGGTGTGCTGCCAGAAGCGACGGCCCCTTCGTCTTCGAGGAAGAAGAGCCGCTTGGCTGCCTTCTCGTAAGACTCCTTCAGTGCGGGTACAGAGAGTGTTGCGACAAGACTGAGTTCGCGGGACAGTTGCGCGCTGTGAGCTTCGGCAAGGGCTGTTTTGAACGAGTTGCACCACGCTACGGCCGTGTGAGGTGCCTTCCTCTCAAGCAAGAACTCCCAGTTGCGTTGCTTCTGTTCGGGCGATATTTCCAGTGCCTTGTTAATCGCATCTGCAACCTCTCTGTAGTCCCACGGGTTGACGAGAAACTCGTGTCCATGAAAGATCGAAGCACTGCCGGTGAATTCGCTCAGGATCAGGGATCCATGGTATTGCGGTGTCACTTTGCCGTCCTGGCAGTGGATGTAGTCCTGACTTGTCAAGTTCATACCCTCTCGGAGACTTGTTACCATGAAAATCTCCGCCACGCTCATTAGGGCCAAGAATTGGGAGTAACTGATGTCTTGACTCAAGAGCACGAGCGGTTGGTAAGTAAGCGTCGAATACTTGGAATTTATCCTCGTTGCTATCTTTGAGATTTGAGACTCTAGTTCAGGCATCTCAGATGCCGATGCTATCTGGATGAGAACAACCTGTGTTTATCAATACGTCGGTTCGTAGGTCAAATATAATATGGACACTTACGTTTTCCCTCCACTTAGGATACTTCTTCAGGAACAGTTCGTATGCCAACAGCTTTTGCTTGATTCCGCCCGGTGTATCCAATCGATCCCTTGCGACAATTAGGTGCTTACCGCTGTACCTGGAAGAAATATTCGCGATCCAGTCCTTTACCTCGTTGGCCTGGCGTAGGTGGTCCAGGGCGTTGGCGTCGATTCCAATAGGAATACTCTTGACGCGGACAAATCGATCTTTCAGTTGGACGCCGCCAACGGTCACTTCTAAACTGAGAAGACGGCTACAGGTCTGCAAAAAGTGGTGACAGTACTCCTCTGTCTGGAAGCCGACAAAGTCAGAGCCCAGCAGACCATTCAGGAGTGCATCGCGAGGATTCAAGCAGCGGAACACCTCGGAGGACGGGAATGCAGCATGCATGAAGAACCCAATCTCTGCCTGGGGTAACCGCTGTCGGAGCATCTGTGGAAGAAGTAAAAGATGATAGTCATGGATCCAGATGCTATCACCAGGACGCCATCGAGCAGCGATGGTGTTTGCAAACGCTTCATTGACCTTGACATACTGTCTCCAGGAATAGTCGTCGTATTCAGTGTGTCGGGGGCTCTCTTGCATCTGATAGTGGAAGGCTGGCCACAGAACTGAACGGCAAAAATGGGTATAATGGCCGTCGAACTCGCTATCGCGTACGAATACCGTCAGCGATTCGTACTCATCTTCGAGTGTCTCAGAAATGCTGGCGCGTGTCGCATCCTTCAACAAGTCGGTAGGCATGCCTAGTGTGCCCACCCACATCTTGTTTGTCAGAATACCGGCTTTTTCGGCTGCATGGACTGCATTGCGCAGCCCACCATTGCCTTGTTCTGCCGCTTTGACAACCCAGTCATCAACAGAGAGTAACGCACGGGGACTTCCATGATCCTCCTCAGAATCTGGAGTCTCTGAAATTGGATCACAGAACTGGCCGTTCAGGTCATCCCCGGCATCTGACGCTCTTAAGATTGACGGTTGGGGATGGACTTGAGCCGTGGATTGCGGCTGATTGAATTTGCGACTCTGACCCCAAGAAATGGTTCTGGGTTCGCTAAGTCCAGGACCGTTGGGATCGTCCGCCTGGGGGATCTCGCCCGCTGACCGAGAGACATACGGTTTGAAGATTTTTTCGTCATCTGTAGTCGCGCCGGGAGTCAATGAGAGACTGAGCGACTTGTTGTGGCGTCTCTGGCGGGCCTCTGCCAGCCGACCAATAACATGGTCGTCTATAGGAGTTTGGCTGAGGGATGACTTGCGACGAGCATGTCTCAGCTCGGTGGCTTGAAAGTCAATAGTATATGGAAGGAAGCTAATGTGGTATGTCAGATTATCACGGCCGCTAACCATCTGAAGCTAAGTGCATGCAACAATGAGGGGCACAACTTACAGTGAGGCGATGTAGACTGTCATTGATTCTGATGGAAGGAGGAGAAGCCTGAAGACCTCTCTGACACCTCAAAGAAAAGTTTTACCTGCAGCGTATTCAAGAGTATTATGGGGTCAACCACTATTAGGGAGGTAGTTCTTTCAAACTTGAGGAAGTCAGGCCAAAGAGGTAAGCGGGTGATGTATGGAAGGGGGGCGCTGCGGACCAAGGGATGAATCGTGATGATGGATGGCACTGATCGTTTAACTAGGTTGGTGATAATGATGGAAGAGAAGAGTGGTGTCTATATGTTTCTGCGGGTCACTCAAACAGATGCATCCTGAAATTCCCGGTGACAATTAGACATCCTCGCAGCATCTTGAATAAACAAAGGGATCATGACGTTGATGATTGGACCATGGAACCTGCGTGTTTAGACAGAGGCATATGATGGGACAGGACAGAACATTCTGGGCTTTTCTTGGGTAGGAGAGGGACGAGAGAGGGGTGAAATCTTCCAGGTGAGAAAGAGAGTCGAGCCAAGTTTACTGGTAAGGTAGAAAAGAACTCAAAAGCGCCTGACAGAACCCGGAGACGAGGAAGGAGGGGTGGTTTCCCGGACGCTTCTGTGCCTTGGGCATCATGATTAATATCACCATCCGTCTCATCTTCATCCAACTGGACGGCCATCGATATGAGGGGTTTTCCCCTTGAACTGCCAGTGGACGATAAGGGCTATGGCCTTAATTGAGTTTCATTTCTGCCTTCCTTCATCGACTATCTAGTCTGTTTCTAGATATTATTCCATACCTGATCGAGGTACCTACATAGACTGAAACCTATCAGGGTATGAATGTGCATGACTTGCATACTTTTCTGTCAGATGTGATAATGCCATAGATCCAACGGCCTAAGGTAAGGTAACTCTCTGACAAACCGGTTCGAGCAGGGAATGGCCCAATGACAGCGATTTCCTGGCCTGAATGCCGGGCAGATCCGTACTTAGACAATCTAGAGCGCCTATCCGTACGTGGGTGTGGGACTAATAATGTATGGAAGAAGTCTCGATATCTCGTTAGCTGTTTCCCCCACTACCATAGGTATGGTTAGGGATCTTTCGAGACAGTTCGATAACAAGAGTCGCGAGTCTGGAACACCCCACTGCACCTAGCTGCGATGTCCCTGTTTCTGCTTGTTGAGAAGCAGATGGAATCGTCCTACTGTGGTATGATGTAGACTACTTCCCCTCTGCTAATCTCGAAATTAAGAATCGCCCATGGTTTATCAGGAAGTACTAATGCCTAAAACGAATTGCATGCTGGAACTAAGGTTGTCTTGAGAGTGCCCCTCCTATACCACTCTAGTTTGGGCGACGAACACGAAAAACGTCACCGCTTAAGGGTAACATCACCAGCTTCCAGACTGCTAGGCGCTCTTCCAAGTTTTTCTTCTTGCTTCTTCCTTTCCTAGTTATCTTCTTCGACATTAATTATTCCATCTCTGATATCACTCAGTCTATCATATCAGCACTACCTAGATATTCTAGTCGCATCTAATCGCATCACCTCCTTATTCCCAGACTGATTGCAGCTTTACCTTTGAAGCGGGGCTTCTGTTTCCAGGTCGGGCACCTCTTTGCGAGATAACTACGAGTTCTCTCTGTCATGTCGAGCACGAACGGGTCGGAAGGCGACCATCGCCTCCTGATTGTCTCGAATCGCCTTCCCATCACAATCCGACGATCGGAAGGAGGAAAGTATGAGTTCTCCATGTCATCGGGCGGTCTGGTAACTGGTTTGAGCGGTCTGTCGAAAACAACCACTTTCCAGTGGTATGGCTGGCCAGGCCTGGAAGTTCCAGAGGATGAAATTGGGTCGGTGACAAAGAGATTGAAGGATGAGTTCAATGCGACTCCGGTGTTCATGGACGACAAATTGGCTGATCGTCATTACAATGGGTTTTCCAGTAAGTGACCACCACCAACAGTCTATACAGTCCGCGCCTGGCGGTGTGCCTGCGATAACATCAATAATCCATCGCTAACTGGAGTATTCAGACTCGATTCTATGGCCCCTCCTTCATTACCACCCCGGCGAGATCGTTTTCGACGAAGGCGCTTGGGATGCCTATCGTGAGGCCAACCTTCTATTCGCCAAAACAATTGTAAAGGAGGCGCAAGACGGCGACCTGATCTGGGTACAAGACTATCATCTCATGCTTCTTCCAGAATTGCTCCGCGAGGAGTTACGGGCGGCGGGCAAAAAAGATAACAAAATCGGCTTCTTCCTGCATACACCTTTCCCTAGCAGTGAAATATACAGAATCCTACCGGTGCGAGGCCAGCTTCTGCGTGGTGTGTTGCACTGTGACTTGATCGGCTTCCACACATATGACTATGCGCGTCACTTCTTGAGCAGCTGCTCACATCTACTGTAGGTCTACTCAATATCCCCATTGTGCTCCACGATATTTGCTAATGGCGCTCTATAGAGGCTTGGTCACGACTCCGAGCAGTGTCAAATACGAAGGCCGATCCGTAGCCGTAGGCGCTTTCCCGATCGGAATCGATCCGGATAAGTTCACCGACGGTCTGAAGAGCCCCAAGGTGCAAAATCGCATCGCAAGTCTCGAGAACAAGTTCCAAGGCACCAAACTGATGGTCAGCGTTGATCGCTTGGACTACATAAAGGGTATCCCGCAGAAGTTACATGCCTTGGAGGTCTTTCTTCAGAACCACCCGGAGTGGGTGGGCAAGGTCGTCCTTGTTCAGGTTGCCGTTCCCAGTCGACAGGATGTAGAAGAGTACCAGAATCTCAGAGCGGTGGTGAACGAGCTCGTGGGCCGTATCAATGGCAAATTTGGTAAGAGAGTTCCCCTTGCTCAAGTCCGCTGATGACACATTGCTGATACCCTCACCCAAACAGGTACTGTCGACTACATGCCTATTCACTTTATGCACAAGTCAGTTAGCTTTGATGAGCTCATCGCCCTGTACGCTGCCTCCGATGCCTGTGTTGTCTCCTCTACTCGAGACGGGATGAACCTGGTATCATTCGAATACATTGCAACCCAGCAGAAGCGCAAGGGCGTTTTGATCCTTTCCGAATTTGCAGGAGCCGCTCAAAGTCTCAACGGTAGCCTCGTTGTCAACCCATGGAACACCGAAGAGCTCGCTCGAGCGTATCATGAGGCTGTTTCGATGAGTGATGAACAGCGCGCCCAGAAGTTTGAGAAGCTTTACAAGTACATTTCCAAGTACACGAGGTTCGTATTTAACCCTGCGAGTTCATTACCAGTACGCATACTGATTGCGTTCAGTGCCTTTTGGGGCAAATCGTTTGTGGCAGAACTACTTCAATGCTCGTCATGATGTGATGAAAGCTATTCCTTTCTTTTCCTCGTTCTACTCTCCTCTGGAGTATGGATTCAAGGGTGGCGCACTGTCCTTGCACAATGCATAGCGATGACCAAACAATAGGTAAATAGAATAATACCGATAATAGGCAACGAGACATGAAGCAATTTTCCTTTGAGGTCTTCTCTTCAATTGTGTAAATTCAGGGCTTCCATCAACTTGAGACACAAATGCTCGAATGTCACAGTGAAGTCATGCTGAAGATCCCTCGATGTCATTAGCGTTGGCATTAATCCTGCCTTAGGCAACCCTAGATGCATACTAGGACTAGGGGATAGAGCATGAGATCATAATGACTGCGCCAGACATTTCCAGGAATTTAGCATATCAAAACACCCAACTCCTCTACCCCGCATCTTTGAAATAAGTCTAGCCTGAACCGACAGACTGATTATTACAATCGTAATTCAACAATATCTATCTACTGTGTACTGATCTTCCTGCTTTGATTATGGTACAAGTTACTGTGATCGACGTTAGGTATGTAAAGCCTCCTCCAATTGTATCCTTAGCTTTCAAACATGAGCCACAAATATTGTGGCTTATCGGTCTGGCTCGCTCCCTGAGACTAAGTACTAGTGGTTAAGTAGTCCTGGCGCAGCAGGCCAGTCGGGACTTGGGAAGTTCGGAGCCTCATACGGATGGTACCGCCTACCCTAATAGGTACCTATGTGTACTTTCTCAACCAAGGGTGGTGCATTTTTATTGGCTGTTTCGGGCTTGCTTCTATGCGTTAGTTGGTGTCGATTGCAGGATCGGCTATTATTATTGTCCTTCGTACTCCATGCTGCTACCCCCAACTTCTCAGAGAATAACTGGCATGAAGTCTAGACTCTACTTTGGTGGCGTCCTCGATCATTCCTCTCGAGACGTTCCAAGATCGCCCAAAATCAAGAGAACCTGGAAGTTCGCAAGCTCTGCATGCAAAAAGCCAGACTGTCCCAGAGTGACCCAGACCTGGGCAGCGGCATTTGCCAAGCCCCCTAGCTCAGGGTCTAGGGCTCTCGAGAGTCGAGAAGTTAGAATTTCTGACTGTCATGCGGTCGAAATCAGAAACCGGTTTAGCTGGGTGGATCCTACGCGCCGCGCTAGTCGGATCTTGTCTAATGCCAAGACGGACGCTTGCGCGTCTCCGCCACCAAGGTCTCCCTCCTAAGGATAGGATGCGGTAATCCTGTAACGCCCGGTGCTGTGTCCAGGCCAGGCTCTTCTGGTTCTGTTTTTATTCCCCAAGGTGCTGGGAAAAGGTGCCTGCTCCGTGGGTTGTTCAGGGTCTCAGGGACTGGAGTGAGAAGATCGAATAATGAAATCATACCTACGTTTTATACTAACTATGTAGTTTGCGGCTTGACTCTAGGGCCTGGGCGCATACCGGTCTATATTCTCTGATCTTCGGTATGATGTGGCAATAAGGCATGATTTGCGGTCCTGGTGAGTGCGCATATCCTTTCGCTCTCCGAATGAACATGAACTGCTGTCAGAGTGGGGATGGCAAACTCATCAGTTGTGCCCTGTGCACGTAGGCCGCGTGTGGATTCGTATTCGGTAGCCTGAATGTTTCTACAGGGCTACGGGATTGTCTCCAGTATGCCAACAATAATGGATACTTACATGGGCTATATCCTACAA